ATTAAAACTTGAATCTTAGACGCGCTAAGCCGTATAATCGAAACCTTAATAACTTTAATAATTCTAGTAACTTTAATAACTTAGTTAAAAGGATTTACTTATGCTATTACTTATGCTACTACTTATGCTATTACTTATGCTACTTATCTTATCACCTCGAGCAAGCTTACGCGTAGAATCATCGTATGTATATTTATTAAAACCTGAATCTTAGGTACGCTAAGCCGTAGAATTGAAACTTTAATAACTTTAGTAACTCTAATAATTCTAGTAACTTTAGTAACTTTAATAACTTAGCTAAAAGGACTTACTTATGCTATTACTTATGCTACTCATCTTATTACCTCGAGCAAGCTTACGCTTAAAACTTGTATATCTTCGTAATAATAATGAAAGCGGGCTAAGCCGAAGCGCAAGATTGCGCAATATTATAAGAGAAGATCTAAGCGGGTATTTGCGAAGGGTACGCTGCGAAAAGTGAAAGTGATCGAGCTTGAATAAAGAATATCGTAGTAAGCGCTGCGATTTCCGAGAAGAGGCTCGTAATAAAGAAGCTGCAATTAAAGCACGTTAAGGTCGACTTCGAAGTCTTTTTGCTAGCTGACTATTATTAAAAGGAAGAGTATGTTTCGATTTGAAAAGAGATAGCTTAATATTATTTTTATCTTTATAACTTTTACAAGTAGCGAATACTTTGTTTTAATCGTCGTTTTAAAATGATAAAAGAAGCTAAAAAAACATTTTTTAGCAAGCATTTGCGGTTAATATAAAGTTTCGTTTTTATATTATAATAAAAGTGGTTGTTAAGAAGATCAAGTTATTAATTAATTAAAGCGTTACGCGTAAGTATATTAAAGTGACGCGACGATATATGCGGCAGAATTGATAGCGGTGGTTGAATTAAGCTTAGCTGTGTTTTATATTTAATTCAGGCCGACCCAATCCGAAAAAAGTTTAATAGATTAATATAAAATAAAAGTCTTAGTACGCTTATAAATCTTGCTAGATCCGTATAAAATAGTCTTACGTAATTGGATGACTAATTATTATTACAACCTTAAGACCTTTGGATTACTTATACTTATTATAACTTTTAGATTACTTATTATTATCACAACTACTGGATTACTTATCACTACCATAACTATTAGAATTTATTTTAGGTCACCGTTGGTAACAATTAAAGCAAAAGACCAAGTTCTTTATAGTGTTATTAACGGGCTTATTATTTAATTTATTAAAATCTTTATATATTTAAGTAAATTATAAAATAAATAATAATAAAAACTAAATAAATATTAAAGTAGTTAGCGTAAGAAATGATTTACTTAATAATTTATAATAAAAAAGAATCTTTTTTAGAAACTTCTTTTTATAAAAGAAACCTTAGACCTTTTTACGAATTACTTATATTTAAATGATTTAATATAAAAAGAGGACTCCGTTAAATTCCTTTTTTTACTAAGAAAACATCTGA